TTCCACCAGAACCCCATTACTCCTGTCGTCGTCTCCACACCCCCTTCCCCACCTCTCCTGGAAGAGGTGTCTGTCCTTCTGCAGAAGGGAGCCATCGAACAGGTACCACCTCACCTCCACGGGACGGGATTTTATTCCCGATACTTCACAGTCCCGAAGAGAGATGGAGGCGTTTGACCCATTTTAGATCTAAGGGCACTGAACGGTTTTATAACCTACCACCGCTTCCGCATGGTGTCCTTACAGCAGATTATGCCGCTCCTACGGAAACACGTCTGGATGGCCACCCTCAAGCTCCAAGACGCGTACCTCCACCTCACCACACCCCTTTCACTGCCAATGCCTACGCTTCGCGATTGTTCAGCAGCATTACCAGTATGCAGCCCTACCATTCGGCCTGTCCAGCGCCCCAAGAGTCTTCACAAAGACTATTTGTGGTTGCAGCTTTCCTCCATCTCCGGGGTATCTCCATCTACCCCTCTATCGACGATTGGCTTTTGGTAGCGCCTTCCCAGAAAGTCCTGGTCTCAAACATCACCAAGACACTGGCACTATTGGAAAATCTGGGCCTACAAGTCAATCGAGAAAAATCTCAGTTGCGTCCAGTTCAAAGAATAAAGTACATTGGCGCTATACTGGATTCCACAGCATGCATGGCGTACCTGCCTCAAGCCCCTCCCAACATACGAGACTCATTACTTTGACCCTTCCAATATCATCCAGGGAGCGCCCTTCCACCCTCCGTCACCCCAAATCACCCTGACCACGGATACTTCCCTGTCGGGATGGGGTGCACATATGATGGGTCTGTGTGTCGGTGGCAAGTGGAACACCCACGAGCAAGGTCGACACATAAACTTCCTGGAACTGCTCCCAATACAGTTTGCGGTCACGCGTTTCCTACCAATAGTCAAGGGGAAATGTATTATGGTCCTCACAGACAACACCACTGCGCTCAGTTATGTCAACAGGCAGGGCGGCACGGTTTCCCTTCGTCTCTGCAACCTTGCCATCCAGTTATGGGACTTTTGCATCGCCCACGGCATCTTTTTGGTAGCCACGCACATCCCAGGATACATGAATGTGCAGGCAGATCATCTAAGTCGAGCAAGGCTCAGTCTCCACGAGTGGGAGATGAACCCATCCTACCGCTTCCTGCTCTTCCACAGGTGGGGAACTCCCCAAGTCAATGTTTTCGCCACCAGAGGCAACAAAAAATGTCCCCGGTTCTGCAGTCGAGGCGGCAGGGACTCATATTCGCTAGGAGACGGTCTCCTTTTTCCTTGGTCCACAGGCCTTCTGTACCTGTTTCCTCCCATACCCCTGCTTCTGAGAGGGGTCCGCAAGATCATCAGAGACGGCGCAGACTGCATATTGATAACACCATGATGGTCCGAGACAACCATGGTTCTCGACCATCCTCGAATTGTCAACGGGAATATACCACCAATTCCCTCCGGCACAGGACCTCCTCTTCCTGTGACTCCCCTCTCCTACATCACGACGTACCACGATTGAAATTGACAGCTAGAAAATAACGTCAACAGTTTTTCTACCCACGTAGCAAACGTTCTACTGAACGCCAGAAAACCTACTACGCGAAGGTCCTACCATTATAAATGGCAAAGGTTCTGTTCTTCCCTTGGTGATGATGCCCCTCGAGCCACCTCCGCAGGTCTCGAAAAAGTTTTCCAATTCCTCCTATCCCTCGCTGACTCGGGACTTTCCCACTCATCGTTATGTGTTTATTTGGCCGCCCTTTCGGCCTACCATGTTCAAGTTGACAGATGCACACTGTTAAGTTGACGGATACACACTGTTTTCCCATCCGCTTTCAAAACGTTTTTTTAAAAGGTTTATTGCATCTCTACCCTTCTGTCAAAACTCCTGTCATTCCCTGGGACCTTCCTCTAGTTCTTCGCCAGCTTATGAGGAAACCCTTTGAGCCACTCGCAACTTGCAATATGAAATGTCTGTCATGGAAGACGGCCTTTCTGGTTGCTGTCACCTCTGCAAGGCGAGTTGGAGAAATACTGGCTTTCAGGCATGACACGCCATACTTGTCCTTTTTGCCAGACGGCATCCGCCTCGTCCCTAACATCTCGTTCCTGCCAAAGGTAGTGTCAGAGTTCCACGTACAGGCAGAGGTCTTCCTCCCGGATTTCTTCCCATCCCAGAAATCCCCAGAGGAGAGGCTGTTACATACCTTAGATGTCAAACGGGCGCTCCTGTTCTACCTCAACAGAACCCGCCCAACGAGACGTGACTCCCAACTATTCATCTCGTACGCACCATCAAGGCTGGGGACTCGCATCACGGCTCAGCGCCTCTCAAGGTGGATTGCGGGTCTCATTTGCCTCTACTACCTGATTGCCAAACAGCCATTGCCTGGCCCTATCAGGGCCCATTCAACCCGAGCTGTTGCAGCTTCCACTGCCTTCCTCCAGGGAGTGCCTTTGACAGACATTTGCAAAGCCGCTACGTGAGCCACGCCAAACACATTTATCAGGCACTACGCCCTAGACGTCTGAAAAAACTCTAATACCAACATGGGACGTCGCATTCTATCTTCGGCTACGCAGTAAAGGGCCTGCCAGCACCCTCCTCCAGGTAGGCCACTGCTCGCTAATCTCCCATGGGTGTGAAGCACAGAGACCATGTCAAAGATAAACAGGTGGCTTACCTGTAACTGATGATCTTCGAGTGGTCATCTGTGCATTCACACCACCCGCCCTCCTTCCCCGCTGCTGTCAGCTTCTACATTTTCCATAGGGGTTGATTTGCTGCGGTTTGAAGGAACTGGCGGGATGTCCGCGCCCACCCCTCTGGGCATGTGCGGTGGGCAGGTGTGAAAACCTTGGCGTCAGGATGCTCCATTGTAGTGTTGATGAAGCTGGCCATTTTCATTGTAAACCAAATATCCATTTGGCAGGAAATACCAATGCAGGAACAAAGCAGTGATGTGTCGTACGTGACCACAAAGAATTCTGCAATGGGGGCTGTCTCTTCTCAAGCTGTTGTTTCTTACTGCTCACAATAATGGAGGTGTGTGCTTCTTCACCAGGCTGGTAACTGTGTAGCTAAAACCTTATTTACACGCATAAGGCTTGTGCAGGCACCTTCTCTGTGTTACATCACAACAGGTGACTTAAAATGTGCAGTTCTCTGAGCCTATGTGTGTGTGTGCACAGTCCATTGTGTGTAGCAATAAATATAGTCCATAAAGCCAAATATCAAGTTCATTCTCTAACAAAACCAAAGAGGGGAGATACAATAAAATACATTTGGAAGGTAGAGGAGTCCTCTAGAGCTGGCCAGACAGGCAGTTCCCAGTGGGAGGAGGAACAAGGCAGGTGCTGTCATGGTAAGGACAGCTCAGCTTGCTCCAGATGGCATTCCTTTCATTATGCCAAATCAAGCAGCTGTATGTGTTTTGTGCAGAGAACTGGCCATGAGGTCCTTTTAATAACAGAAAGAAAACGGAATGTATAGAAGGGAACTAAACCTTGACTCGCTCTCCTCAGTACCTTACTGTGTGAAGCATCTATATATCTAATAGCCAAGTTGACCCCGGAGTGCGGATCGCTAAATCAGCACTCCGGGGGCACTTGGGGGGGAGGGGGACAGCCTCGCCGCTGCCGCGGGGGAGGGGGAAAGAACTGCCCCCCGCCACCGCTAAGGACCCGGGTGGGCGGCCGCCCTGTGCAGCCAGCCTCGCCGCCGAGGGGGAGGGGGAAAGAACTGCCGCCGCTAAGGAGCCGGCCGGCCGAGCGCCAACCGTGTGCAGTCAGGCTCGCCGCCGCCGAGGGGGAGGAGGGAGAAAACTGCCGCCGCCGCCACTAAGAGCCCACCCTCCAAAGCATACATTCCCTCCCCAAATCTTCCACAGAACCTCTCTTTGTAAGTATGCTGGAGAGCGCAGGGGGACCGGCTGGACGGCGCTCTGGAGGAGTGGGGCGGGCTCCCTTTCCGGGCTGTGGGGCTCGGAGCGGGGGGGGAGAGAAAAAGTGGAGACCCAACTAGAACACAGTACGCAACATTTTGTTGCGGGTCTCCACTTGTTTTCCTCTAAATTGGCTCTGATACCAGAAGTTATTTAAGAAAAATGCTTAAAGCACAAGATCATGGCAACGTACAGAGGAAGCAGAGTTTAGGGTTTAACTCCACTCGTGTGTTCCGTTTTCTGTAAACAAATAAAAACAGATTCCTCATGTACTAGGCATTTTTTGGATCTTGCAACTTTTTTTATTATAGCATTTTAATGACATTTTTCTCTGTGAAGGGATCCAAAGAATCTTAGAGAACTTCCAGGCCAACCAATTCAACAATTTAAATTAAATAAAACAACATAAATAAGAAAAATGTATGTTGGGTGGGTCCTAATTCACTTGGCTGCCTATTATAGGTCCCAGGCTGCGAGTCATGGCTAAGAGCCAAGAGTCCTTTGACTCTTGCTATTCATTTCTGCCCAAGGGCTATCTGCAGACAGAGGAGAAAACATAGGCTGCCCAGATGATACTCAGATGCTGTTTGCTTGCAAGCAGGCTCTCCCCAACTCCCACCACCCACCCAGGCCATCAAGAGGGTTATTAAGTTATCTGGAATAGTCAGGTTTTTAAAATTATTATTATTTACAATGAACAATTCAGAAGCTTTACCACTATCATCAGTCTCAGTTATTCTCTGCAGTTATTTTCAGTCTCAGTTATTTTCTGCAGGTATCGTGTACTTTTCCATTTGCCTACTAGGGGTCAGTATTCTACTCTTCATAGCAAATTTAATATTAATTGTGAAAAATATATATGTTAAAATGAATGTTTCATGTAGGTGATTCTTAACAGAGTAGTCTAGCATGCTTTACTTGTAATGATTCAATTTTCCATTTGATGCATTTCAGAATATGACCTATGGCTGTTAGAAGTGAAAATATCAAATAGATACTTGCATTATCAAATACTATTTCCCCAATATTCATGATCATTCTCGATTCATTTTTAAAGGCTGGAAAACTTGCCATTGAGAGGGGATGGGCAATTAATGTTGGTAAGTAAAAATATATGTACATCTGATTGTTAAAATTATTTTCTTTCAAAGTTCTTCTTGTCGTCCTGTTATAATTATAGAATGATCACATGATCAGTTCTCAGAGTTAATAATGGAGATTGTATTTATAAAGTTTTAAATGTTACTAAATTGTTCCATTTAGCAATGGCAATCCCTCCATAGCTTCTTCTGGGTCTTCACCAACATGCTCATAAGGTGCCTGAGAATCCTCTTTGTATATATCCTAGCCCCGTGCTAAGCAAAATTTGAAGGCTTTCTACAGATTGAGAAGCCTGTCTCCAATTTAAGTGGCTGTTCCAGTGGAAAAAATACTTAAGTTGGAGGAGGGCTCCAAGTTAAGTGATGCTAAGGAGGATATGGCTACAGTTGATGAAGCGAGCAGTGACAAAAAAACTCATACCCTACCACAAATTTTGTTAGTCTTCAAGGTGCTACTGGACTCTTACTCTTTTATACTGCTACAGACTGACTAACACGGCCACCCATCTTGATCTATCTCCTTGTGAGGGCAGGAACTGAACCGAGAAATAAACTCCCTCAAGAGTGCAGACAGTGGAAGACATCTCCCTAGTTGGAGGCTGACTTTTTTTTGCATATATGAATTATGGAAATAATAAAAACAAAAATTTAGATTTAAACAGAATTTCTTGGAAGCAGGCAGCTGGAAATATATGGAAAACAATAAGTTAGAAAAATATCTTTGGGCTTTAATGTGCTATGATAGATTGCTGCATGGGTAGTGTCACTTTTATATATAGAGTGTAAATAATGATATAAGGTCTATGAATCAACATCTTCTAGCAGTCCCTGGCCCCAGGGATGCCCAACTAACCTCGACCGGGGCCAAGGCTTTTTTGACCCTGGCCCCCACCTGGCCCCCAGCCTCCTGTATTACTATGTGATTGAATGATCCAGTCACACCTGTCTCAGATATGTGGAGAGCTCTGTAAGCTCTTGGAGGATTGGCTACATTAGGGTGTGTGTCACCTAATATGCAAAGGAGCTCCTGCTACAAAAAGAGCCCTGGCACCGTTATGCATTCCTACTGTCGGCTTGGTTGAAGGAGGCAAGGCCAGAGTTGAATGTCATACAGAGATACAAGGGGCAGCCTGTTGTGAGTGGATACTATTCTGAAGCAACCAAAGTAGCCTCTGTGCAAGTAAAATGAAATTCTGCTAGGGCAAAGTGCAGTTGCTATATTTTCCTACTCTTTGAGGCCCCCTGCCCCCCCCATCTCCAAAAATCATGGAAGAAATGCACTCCCCTTATGTTGGGTTTCTTGGTGCAGGGGTTTGGCCTGGGCATTGAATTGGGGGAGGGCATACCCCCCTTTTTTTACAAAATTGCCTCTCATTTATGTTACGTTTAAGAAGTAGGACATAACTACGTATTCAAAACACCTCCGAGCAATCAGATATTAAGCAAGTTCATATGAACCTATTTTCTAGAACCCACATTGTGAGAAGTTAAATACTCTTATAAAGGAAACCAGTTTTCTACAAATTTGGGGTATATTTCCATTGTGGGTTGGAGTGTGTCTAGCACTGCTAAGGTGATTCTGCTGGGGCAGCATTCCTGAAGGATTAAAGTACCCTGGTCCTGCTCCTACACCTGACAGACATTGGCCTGTCTGGTGTTGGGGGGGATTGTATTTAAAGGCATCGGGGAGGCTGGGCCGGCAGCAGGGCTAACGCAATCCTGCTGAGCAAACCTCCCCAGCATCTGTAAGCATCCCACCTCCTCTCTTACACCTGACAGGCAGCTGCCTGTCCAGTGTGGGAGGGGGAGGAGTATTAGAAGCCACTGCGGAGGCGGGGCTGGCAGGATCACTAAGGCATTACTGCTGGGGCAGGCTCCCTCGTGGCTGCTGCACCTGACAGACAACCAGCTGTTAGGTGTAGGAGGTGGGGGAGTGTGTTGGAAGTCATCAGAGAGGCTGGGCCAGCAGCTTTGCTTCACCTCACAGGCAGTTGGCCATTCCTGATTTCCTCAACTGTCCTTAGCTCTCTGCCGTCCCCTGTAACTGTTGGGTGTTTTTTTAGCCTCAGAACACTGAGCTCTGCAGCTGACCAATCAGAGTGTGGGGTGCAGAGAGGCAGCTACCTGTTAGCCGCATAAGAATCAATGGGGGGGAGCGCATTTCCCCCCTTTTGATCCACTTAGGGGTCAAATTTCTAAAAATCCTTCTTAGCGAGCACCTACGCCACAGTGGGAGCGCGCTCCCCAAATTTGGTGTCTCTTGGTCAAGCGGTTTGGCCTGGGCGCTGATTTTACGGTGAGGGGACTTTCTTTTATATATGTATAAAATGGAAGCAAAGAGGAGGAATCAATGGACAGTTCTCACAATAGAGAGAAGTAAGCAGTGGGGTCCTGTGTGAACCGGGAGCTTCCCTCTCAGTTCTTCTGCTAAAGTCTGTCAGGGTTCAAGGCCTCAGGTTGGCAAATGGCAACTCGTTTTGCTTTATCAGAATTCAAAAGCACTTTGTGCTTTGAAGGCTCACCTCTTCAGTCTCCGGTTCGACTCTGGGCAAAGGGAGCGAGACACCCATTAATGACGACGCTCCACACTTCAGCTTTCAGAAAGCTCCGCAGAGTTTATTGAAGATGATTACAAGATACACCCCAGCAGGTAATATCAAAATATATCAGCGTTGGCAAAGTTTCATGCTCCTTGGCTCGACACAACTTAAAAAGTAAATTAGCCTAGGTCTAAAGGAAAACATCTGATATTAAACTGTCTGCTGGCCACTCAAGGCCAAGTAGCTAATTATTATTTGCAGCTGTGGCACTCTTAAAGAAAAAACTCCAAGATCTTCACCTAAACAGTTCACAGGGCTGAAGCTGAAACCACTTGGGGTCTCTATTTCAAGTTAATAATCTAAAGGTAAAAACAGAAGCACGTGCTGCTTCCATACAGGTCCCATAAGGATCATTATTGAGGCTGGTCCTATTTAATTTATTCATAAATGATGTGGAACCAGGGGTGAATAGTGTAGTGGCCAAGTTTGCAGATGACTCCAAATTATTCAGGATGGTGAAAACCAAGGCTGATTGTGAAGAGCTACAAGAGGACCTCCACAAACTGGGCGAGTGGGTGACAATGTGGCCAATGTTCAGTGTTGATAAGGGTAAGGTAATGCAAATTGGGATGAACTTCAACTATAGGCTAATGGGGTCTGAACTTGTTGAGACTGAGAGGGAAAAAGATCTTGGGGTTGTAGTGGATAGCTCAGTGACAGTGTCAACCCAGTATGGTTCAGTGGTGAAAAAAGGCAAACTCTATTTTAGGGATTATTAGGAAAGGGGTTGAGAAAAAAAAACTGTCGATATTGTAATGTATAGATCCAGTTTGGTGTAGTGGTTAAGTGCACGGACTCTAATCTGGGAGAACCAAATTTGATTCCCCACTCCTCCACTTGCACCTGGCTGGATGACCTTGGGCAAGCCATAGCTCTGATAAGAGCTGTTCTTGAAAAAGAGCAGTTACTGTCAGAGCTCTCTCAGCCCCACCTACCTCACAGGTTGTCTGTTGTGGGGAGGGGAAGGGAAAGGAGTTTGTAAGCCGCTCTGAGACACTTTTGGGTAGTGAAGGGCGGGGTATAAATCAAATCTCCTCCTCCTCTTCTTCTTCTATGGTGCAGCCTCTTTTGGAATACTGTGTACAGTTCTGGTCACCATATCTCAAAAAGGAAATTGCAGAGCTGGAAAAATTACAGAGGAAGGCAACCAAGATGATTAGGGGTTTGGAGCACCTTCCCTATGAGAAAAGGCTGAAGAGTCTGGGAAAAGAGACAACTAAGAGGTGTATTGATAGAGTTTTATAAAATTATCATCACAGAACCCTAGTACTGGCATGTAGATCATTGTTCTGAGCAGTGTTCCCTCTAAGCTGAGTTAGTGTGAGCTAGCTCAGAGTTTTTTAGCCTCCGGCTCACACATTTTTGTCTTGGCTCAGGAAGGATGGCTCCAGAGCAAACTAATTTGTGCAGTAGCCAAATCGCTTACTCACAACTTTAATGCCAGTAGCTCACAAAGTAGAATTTTTGCTCACGAGACTCCACAGCTTAGAGGGAGCATTGGTGGAGACATCTGACAAAAAGAACTTTTTCTCCCTCTCCCAAAATACTAGAACTTGAGGGCATCCAGTGAAGCTGATGGGCAGTAGGTTCAGGATGGACAAAAGGAAATAGTATTTTACACAGAGGGTGATTAAAATGTGAAATTCACTGCCCGAGGATGTAGTGATAGCCACAGGAATAAACAGCTTCAAAAGGGGATTAGATAGATTCGTAGAGGATAAGTCTATCAATGACTTACTAACCGTGGTGACTGAGGGGAACCTCCACATTCGGAGGCACTAATTCTCTGAATCTCAGAGCTAGGAGGCAACATCAGGGGAAGGCGTCAGCCTCTATGCCCTGTCATGGCCATCCAGAGAAACTGGTTGGCCACTGTGTGAGACAGGATGCTGTACTACATGGACTAATGGTCTGATCCAGCAGAGCTCTTCTTATGTTAGTATAATGACAGTAAAATAATTTAATTCATGTGGTAATGCAAAAAAAAAAATTAAAGAAGGCTTCATGCACACTCCCTGCCTAGACATGCAGATTCTTCTTTGGACTGTATTTAACTTAAAACAGATTAAACATAAATAGATTGCATTTACAGTTTAAACATAAGACAGAAAGAGTTGAGTAATAACTGAAGTAATAAATTCAGGCTTTTTCTATTTTTTTTTCTTTTTGTGTTTCTTGTTTGAAGCATTCCATTTGTATGGATTAATAGCATAAGCCTTCAGGGAAATTGCTTTAAAATGAAATACAGATACAGAGATTATATTCAAACTTCTAAATTATTAACACTTAATATTCACATAAATGATACTTTCAAACAGAGTAGCCTGAGCTGTGTAGATTGGTACTGATTTTCCTCCTAAACAGACTGCAGTGCAATTTTTCTTGAATCGCCTAAAAGGAAAGCATTTAATTGAGCTACAAGACTAGTGCTTTGGGGTTGTTTTTTAATATATCAATACAAAAATGAAATATTTAGTAATTCATATGCTTACCACATGGATGACTTTGGAAAAATAAGTAAAGAACTGAGTCAGTAGGTTTAAAAGTGCATGACAATGAAAGGGCAATTGTGTCTCTTTTTAACTTCAGGGGAAAATCCTGTTACTTGATTGTTATTGTTGCCTCGATGATTTGTACTCTTGTGACTTCCTGTGCCTCAGCTGTGTTCCATTGGGTCAGGAGGTTTTTTACTCCTGTCATGGATGACCTCATGTTGTAGTTCTCTTAAATATCTCTAGAATGACTTTTATTTCTGGTGGATGAGTCTAGGTTGATCAGATTTTCAGTCTGGACTCTTAATTCCAGCAGCTAGCAACCTTCATGCACCTTTTTAAAATACATATCAAGGTAGAAGTTTTGGGGGGCACAAACAGTTTAGCACACCTTTCTTATTTAACTTAGGTTACTTTAAAATCTATAGAAATTCTTTCTTCTCATAAAGCAAATAATTTGTGCTTGGCAGTGCCATTCTACAGACCCTTTCGTGGGAGTAAGCCCCACAGAAGCCAAAGAACGACCTGTTGAACAACATGAAGCAGCAATAAATTGAGCCATATCAGAGTGATCCATATAACCCACTTTAGCACATGTATCAAAAACATAAGTCAGAGATCCTTACAGATTGAAAGAATCCATTAAATGTCTTAAATCCAGGGCTCAAAAAATCTGGGCTGGGTTTGTTAACCAATTTCTAATAGCTAGCTAGAATCAGTGTTCATGAATTCTGTTCCACATTTGCAAAATAAGTATTCTTTATCTGTACCCACTAATCATTGAAGGTTTCATGGGGAAAGAGCAGCAGACAATGTGGATATGTAATACTGCCATGGCTTTATAAAAATGTATTTTTCCTCTAATGGAGAATACTAAAGGCTCTTCATGCCAATTGTCAGAATTACATTTATGTTTAATAGTAATAGTCTGGCAAATGTGTTTGAGGGTATCAGTCTCAGATAATTCACTGAGAACAAAGACAGTCAAGACAAAGAAAAAGACCCACAGTCAGGTAGAACTTCTGACTTATCAAGGGAAGACCTGTGACGGACAGGTTATGTTCCACCTCTCCCTAGAAGCAACCAGTTGAAGCTGACGGAATGTTAGTGAGAAACATTTGTAAACAGAGAACAGTTAGGTGGTTGAAAGTTGAGAGAGAGTCTGGCTGAGCGAACCTGTGGCAAAGTGCTGCGTAAAGCTGACTGAAAAAAGTCAACTTGTAATGAAAGATCCCACATGCTGGAATAGGTAAACAGTTCAAAAGTTCAATGGAAAAGAAACTGTGTGATCTCTACATTACTTTCTTCAGTGTTTTATTCAAACTATTAAAAAGAGTTAACTTCTTGTTTGTTTAACCTTGTGGGCTGGTTGTCTCACACAAGCTAAGGTCTATACATATCTTAGGATATGAATAAATGATGGCAGTGTGTAAATGTAACAGGGTTTGAGTCCCCAACTCCTATAACTCTGTGAGGGGAAATTGCTACCCTATGTGTTGATATCTCTGTGAGTGAGAGAGAGAGTCTGAGAGGTAAAATGGTCTCTGTATTTTAAAAGAGGCAAGAAGGGTAGCATTGTTTGAGTCTGCCTTATTGTAACCCTGAACCCGAGAGAGAGGATGGTAAGACACCTGTGTGAGTGAGAAAGGTGCATCACAACTCTCTTTAAAAGTGACCCCCTAGAATCTTTTAGAAATCCCAGTCTAACAATGAATACCTGGCTTAAATAAGTAGGTGGACAGCACTAGAGAGACTTAATAACAGAATCCAGAAGTGTTGCATTGGATAATTGACAGAAGTTCAGATGGAATGCAGAAGATGCATGAGGACAGTCCCATTATACATGTAGGAATCAAGGAGTGGTGGACCCCTGAGGGCATAATATTTACTGTAAGATGGCCACAAATTAATATACCATACAAGCATATACCATACAAGCATATACATTCTACTGTCATATCCCAATATGGCCTTTTTTGCTGTCAGTGTCTGCCCAAACTAGAAGTAGGATATTGGCTGGAATGGAGTTGCATGATTCCAGGAACATTTACCCTCTAAGAATTAAGAATTTATGTTTAAGTATGCTGCAGTTTCTTGAGGCACACTTTAGGCTGAGCTTGTGAAACACTGGTCACTTGATAATGCTACTTTTGGCAGGAGACTCAGTTTGCCTTGCAGGGTGGAAATAGTTATTAGACTCAACACAAAATTACCACTGAAAAGTGATAGTCCAGTGTTGGGTCCCCTTCCTTTTCTGTGACATTAGGACACTTAATTGTGTCACAGTTATCACTTAATCTGTCCTTACCTTTACCAGCAACAAGCAGGGATGCTAAGTATGGTGGGGAAATGCATAATGAGTTGACATTCATACATGGGTAAATGTATCTTAAGTTGAAGGCAGAAAAGTTGACACAGGGTTTTCAGCGCCAGTCCTAAGTTTGGTGTAGTGCCTGCTTCCAGATTCAGTCTGGTCTGATGCTATTATTAGTGCCACTTGTTGAAGTCCGTGATAAGACTGATGCTTGATGCTTTCTATCTCTTGTTCCAATGACTGGGTATCATCTCTGAAGATAATGATACTTGGCTCCCTTATCTTATGTAGGGGGCACACCATTATACATATGCTAGCTATGGATTCAAATTATTTTATTGAATAGGCATGGCTTTTGTTACATGCATGCTAGGTGTTACAGACATACCTTGTATTAGCTTTTAAAAGGATTGTAGAATTTCAAGATCCCAATTTACCTTGATTAAGAGGGTGTGGTATTTTTTAGTTTTAGACATGCCCAACTTATTTATGCGTTATTTTATTCCAGTGTCTAAATTCAGTTCTGGGTCTAGATTTTTATATTACTAGGAATCCCAAGATTCTATGACACCTCCATGACTAAACGTTGAGGGCTAATCTTGGTGGCCTTTGCAAGGATTTGATAGTTCAGATATGTGAAATGTTTAGAAACCTCACTGGCTCTGATAAGACAAAAAAAACATTACATGATTTTTATAGTCTCTTCATTACATTCTTATGGATTCTTATGGATTTGGATAATTGAGCATGCCTAATGAAGCAATCTGTTCAGTAGCCTCATATTTTTCCAAAACACCAGGATTTTTCACTAAATGTATTCTTTAGATTTAATTTTTTCTTCTTCTAGGTGGGGGCTTTCATCACTGTTCGAGTGATAAAGGTGGAGGATTTTGTGCATATGCTGATATTACATTGGCTATAAAGGTAAGGAAAGACCTTTTCAGACAAACCATTGATTCTCTGAACATCTCTGTGAAGCCAGACACACTTAGTTCTTTAATTGTTTTTCATACAGTAAGATACGAGTTCCTATGAGGGAGGATGGATTTGTCTTATTTAAAACAGTGTTGACATTGGTATGGCTAAGACCTTTAGTAATAAAGTCTAATGGGGACAGAGACAGTAATACAAAAATTCTTTTTAAAGCTTTTTTGTTTTTTATATACCAGACAAACAAAAGACAAACATACAGTAATACATACATGGGGGATTCTCTTTACATCATCTTGAACTAGTTGATGACCTCATAAATATCTGAATATATTTATTACCTTTTTCCACTTTATAGTTTATTTATTTAGCTTTTGCTTATAGTTAAAAATATAGCTTTTATTTCCTTTTATTTCAGTTAGATGTCCAAAACTTTTTTGTAATGTACTCTTCTGTTCACTTATAAAATCTTGACCATGGCAGTACAAAAATTCTCATCACAAGGGCAGTCCCAGATGCAGATTAGGAATGTGCATTTTGATATTTCCAGTCCGAATAAATATCTGAAAAATACCTTATCAGTATTTTCTGGATATATTTGTGTGTCCGGATGGTATTTTGGATTTTCTGAGGTACAGTAAATGGGTACAAAATGGTTCCAGAAATATTCAAGAGTAACCGGAAATATCAGGGGCCAGCATTTTAAGGCTTCCAGGACTGTGTTTCTTTAATTTTATTGTCTATGTCAGTGTCTTCTTGCCAGGGCTTGGTATCAGCCTGCCAGGTTCATTTGGCTTGGATTCTGTGTTTAGAAATTGGTTCTCTTGTTCTTCCCCCAAAGAGTGATTAACACTTATGGCACTGGTATTTCTGGCCACTGTGTGATACAGAGTGTTGGACTGGATGGGCCTTTGGCCTGATCCAACATTGGCATCGCTTATATTCTTATTGTATTTAGTGTTCCCTCTAAGCTGAGTTAGTGTGAGCTAGCTCACAGTTTTTTAGCTTCCTGCTCACACATTTTTGTCTTAAGAAGAAGAAGAAAAGATTGGATTTATACCCCACCCTTCACTCAGAGTCTCAGAGCAGCTTACAAACTCCTTTCCCTTCCCCTCCCCACAACAGACACCCTGTGATGTTGGTGGGGCCGAGAGAGTTCTGACAGAAACTGCTCTTTTCAAGAACACCTCTGACACAACTGTGGCTTGCCCAAGGTCATCCAGCAGCTGCAAGTGGAGGAGTGGAGAATCAAACTCAGTTCTCCCAGATTAGAGTCCGCATACTTAACCACTACACCAAACTGGCTCAGGAAGGATGGTTCCAGAGCAAACTATCCAGTAGCCAATCGCTCACTCACAATTTTAATGTCAGTAGCAGTATTTTTGCTCACAAGACTCCACAGCTTAAAGGGAGCATTGATTGTGTTTCTTTCTGAAGATGGTTTGCTTTGGATTCTGTGGTTTGACATTGAAGGATGTACTAAAACAAATGACAGGATTGTCCATCTGCAACAATAGGAGATAATGGAATGCCCATTGGATATAGTGTGATCCAAGAATGCCAATTCACTTGCATGGGCTCCATTGAAATGTATTACAGCACACAAAAGTTGCAATGAAAATGTGGGAAAATGACAGTCTCTTGGTCCAGATAGACTGCTCTAGGACTGGAATGACATTTCCCAGCATAGAATGAGGCCCCCTGGGACTGGAATCAGTGCCCTGGGACTGGAATGACAGCCCCCAGAGTGGAATGATGGTCCCTAGAACCAGATAAACTGCTCTCAATCTGAAATATGAGCCCCTTGAAATACAATCTACAAAGAGAATATGTTTCAGACTGTGTGGTTTCCTATTATAGAGTATTTATCAAATAGTTCTATAGTTCCAAATAATAAGTTTTATAAAACAATGTTGTATTTCTAAAGAAAAAAGTACAATTGTACTAGACTGTGCCAGAGTGATTTCTGTATAAAGTATTATTGTACGTTAATTGCCACAAGTTTTGTTACCATTGAGTTATGTTAAATTATTATATACCTTATTTTGTTTTGTTTACTGTTGGTAGGGGTGAAAATAAAATTGTTAATTGCTATGAAATGAGAGCCCCTAGAGTGGAATGACGGCCCCTGGGAGTAGCATAAGTGTTCTGGGACTGGAATGACAGCACCCAGAGTAGAATGACGGCCCCTGGAACCAGATAAACTGCTCAGGACATTCCAGCCATAGAGCAGTTTATCTGGTTTCAGGGACTATCATTCTTCTCTGAGACCTGTCAGTGCAGTCCCAGAGCACTGATCCTATTCTTATGGGCCATAATTCCAATCTGGGGCATGACATGCAAATTGCAGAATCGTTCTGCTATTCTCAGGGACTATCCTTTCACTCTGGGGGCTATCATTCCAGGCCCAGAACACATCTGCTATGCCTAGGGCTGTCATTCCAGTTCAAGGACACTTATTCCAATCCTAGGGGCTGTCATTCCAGTCCCAAAGCAGTCTGTCCAGGCCCAAAGACCCTCATTGTAAATCCATTACACATTTTGATTGCAACTTTTGTGTGCTGTAATGCATTTCAATGGAGCCCATGAGTTCCAGCATCTCCCATTGTTCCCAATGGGCAGTGCTCTCATTTCTTTTAGTACATCCCTCCAGTCCTTGTTAAATTAGTTTAACTTGAATTCTCTATTTTGACTTTGGTTGTGTTAGACTTACCACATTGCCCCACGGTTCTGCTTGGATTCCCTTTTTTCCCATTGGTTCTTTTTGGCTTGTTAGTTCTATTTGCATTGGGAGGCTTTTGGCCGGTGGCTGCTTTGCTTGCTGTGTGTCTTTAGCTATTCTTTGCTTTCTGGAGAAACATGGAACCCCCCCCCCCCCCGGGAAACAGTGGAAGATGGTTTCCTTTGTTCAATTCACTTGAAATTTGGGGGTTATTTAGTGGACAGGCACTGTCAGCTCCACTGCAGTTTTGGTGCTATGTGCTTAAAAAACAGCCCCTCCAGCTAATGGAGCCAAATAATATCAAAATCCAAAAAAGAACTGTATCCGAATACCAGACCAGTATTTGGGACCTGAATAACTGAGAATACTAATATTTTTCAGCTCCCTGATATCTGGAACCAAAAAATACTGGGGTTTTTTTGTAGTGCACAACTCTAATGCAGAGTTTTAAATGTAAACCCCTTTATACAGTGCATGACCCCTCCATGCATTCAGCAGTGTGTGGACAGGGAGAGCATGCTGGTATAGTGCCTACATGCAGAGGAAGTCTATGTGTGAATGCTCCCTCCCTGATCAGAGACACTGCTTTTTGAATATTCTTAATCACAAAGAACTAAGCATACACATGTACAATTCATCCACATGTGGGTGCTGTGCCATACTTATGAGCCAGCAATCACACAGTGGTGTGGGGTGCAGTTCTGCTGAGATGTTCCCAAGCAGTACCTGGAACCATTATAAAGAATATAGGATTTGAAGAAGAGCTAAACATAGTTCAAGAAACCTTCAAATTAAACAAAGTCAGAACTGGTGTGTTACATGGCGTTTAAATAGGCCACATTTATGTTGGATTGCACAGATGCATAAACAGAGGAGTTCTAATTATGCAAGAGGGGGCAGTTTTATACAGTTTGCCCTACTCACTACACCTCCTTCTGTGCTGCACGACACCTTATTCATGAAGTTCTGCAGTCCTGACCCACACCTGTTGGGGGAAGGAAAAGGCTGGGACAGTTCTGTTCCATGAGCTCCTTCCACTTACACAGCCATAGAATCCAATCCATGGACTTTCACTGAGGAGAGAGCTATGAAATGTTAAGTTTAAAATGCCTCACCTGCCTTTCTAATATATTTTTTGTATTCCAGTTTTTATTTGAAAGAATGGAAGGAGTTTCTAAGGCAACTATTATAGATCTGGATGCACATCAGGTGAGTGATCATATTAATGAAATTCAAACTAGAATTCCTGAGTCATTGTAGCATTGTGCCTTTTACAACAAAAGTTAATTTATACTGAAGCTTTCAGTAAAGATATTTTAAAAAGTGAAACACATGTGCAGAAGATTTCATGTGATAGATGATTTTTAAAAACGTATCATGCACATATTGCACATACTGTTTTTATAGGTTTTATACAAAATAATCTGATAAAGCATGGAAACTGACATTGGTACAAAATAAACAAATTATAGTGGTATTTGAATAATTTATCATGGCTAGATTTTGTTACCGTTTTTTAATGAAGTGTCTGCATTATGGAAGTCTAATATTTTAACATTTTATCTAATTATTTTTAAAAAGCAAAGCAGTGGTCATGATGTACATAATTAAAAAACAGAAAAAATGTACAGTCTTAAGGACCACCTATTCCCATTTGAATCTGCCCAGTCCTGCTTCAGGAAGCCCTGTAATCTGAGACTGGACAGGTGGTAATCAGAGAAAGGGCCTTATTGGTTGTTGCACCAAAGTTATGTAATTCCCTCCCTGGGGAGAGTTTTCTGGCCTCTACTGTTATCTTCTGCCAGTGGGTGGTGACCTTTTTGTTCTGTTTGATGATCCCTTACTTGACCCTCTTTTCTGTTAATGTTTTTAATTGGTGTGTGTATTGTGCTTAAATTGTTTTTAAATATTTTATCTATTCATTGCCTTGAGGGCCCAAAGTGGGTGGAAAGTCAGGATAAAAATGTTTTAATTTACAGGAAAACATTCATTACACTGTAATTTATTAGCATAATTGTTTTAATGATATGTTTAAGGTAATGTAGAAATTTATATTTTTGACATAAAACTGGAGTTATGTTCGGAGCAGATCCCTATCATCTCCGTTACAAAGCCGAAGAGCCAGCGCTGTCCGAAGACGTTTCCGTGGTCATGTGGCCGGCATGACTAAACACCAAGGCGCACGGAACGCTGTTACCTTCCCACCGAAGTGGTCCCTATTTATCTACTTGCAATTTCTTGCTTTCGAACTGCTAGGTTGACAGGAGCTGGAACTAGAGACAGGAGCTCACCCTGTCTTGCGGCACCCGGGTCTTGAACCACTGAACTACTGACCTTCCACAGCCTGCAGTTCAGCGTCTTAACCACTTGAGCCACCGCAGCTCCTGATATGTTTAAAGCATTGTAGAAATTTATATTTTTGACATAAAACTGGAGTTATGTTCGGAGCAGATCCCTATACCTTCATTGTATCACCTTAAGAGAATGAGAATATTGCAGTTCTGTTCCTGAAGTTGGGCAGCTATGGGCATAGCTAGTACCTGGACAGAAGACTGCAAGTAAGTCTAGTTTTATTCAATTGGACTTACTCCAGGAAAATGCAGCCTAAGTGCCCTACTTTGAGATTGGTTGGTGAAGAGTTGGATATAAATCTAAGGAAGAAACAAAATGAATAAAATCTCCAATGCTTAGCTGTGCTGATCCAGGTGGCTACCTGTACTGTTCACGTTCTGCTATTATTAGTGATAAAAATATTAGATAATCAGTTATTTGGTGTGATTATTACTTAACCACAGCTTGCTGTACAAGTTTGGTGGTCTTTGGTTAGAAAGATATAGTTAATTAAACACCCACGGTGTGTTATAAATTTAGTCTGAGCTGTAGCTCCATCATGTGGCTGGAATGTAAAAAAAATGTTTCAGTTTGCTAATAGAAGCAGCATAACAGTCCTTGAGGCTTACTTGGTATAAACTAAAACACTGGAAGTCCTTAAACAGAATTATAGTTAGCTCAACAGGCATAATCACTGCAGAACTTTCTACAACAGATGAGTTTGACCTTCTGTGCTGGAAGTAGAGAGGAGACTAGGCTAAAGGACAGATACCAAACGTACCTGCTTGCAGTGTACAATATGAAATAAGATCAACATGTGTATTTAAATTCTGTATAGAGGTTAAAAAGAGTGTTGTGTGGGGTTGTTGGAAAAGCCTGAATTAGCTATATTTGTCAAATTGCTGGTTTTGTTATTTAGTATTCAAGACAGCAACCCATACATTAAAATAGTAGCATTGTTATGCAGTTCTTATATTTTTATACCGATTACACTTATAAACTTGTGGGCATTTCTTACATTTTATAGAGAAATAAAATAATAAAATTGATTTAATGAGCCATTTATGGGTTTATATTACATTACACTACTTTTTAGATGTATTTTCACTGCTCAAAAGAAACTGAGATCCTCGAATGACCTATTGTGTAACATAATTCTCTTCTGGAAGTTAAAGCATCCCAGAAATAAAGCGGTCCCATTGGTTGCTATGGATCCTTGCTTTCACATTGTAAAATATCAGTCATAAGAACATAACATAAGAACATAAGAGACGCCAATGTTGGATCAGGCCAAAGGCCCATCCAGTCCAACACTCTGTGTCACACAGTGGCCAGAAATACCAGTGCCATCAGGAGGTCCAGCAGTGGGGCCAGGACATTTGAAGCCCTCCCACTGTTGACCCCCCCAAGCACCAAGAAGACAGAGCATCACTTGCCCCAGAGCCCCTATCTATACCTTGTGGCTAATATCCACTGACGGACCTCTGCTCCATATGCTTATCTAATTCCCTTTTGAAGCCGTCCATGCTTGTAGCTGCCACCACTTCTTGTGGCCGTGAATTCCATGTGTTAATCACTCTTTGGGTGAAGAAGTACTTCCTTTTATCCGTTCTAACCCGACCGCTCTGCAGTTTCATGGAGTGCCCACGAGTTCTTTTATTGTGAGAAAGGGAGAAAAGTACCTCTTTCTCTACCTGCTCTTTCCCATGCATAATCTTATAAACCTCGATCATGTCACCCCTCAGTCGTCTTTTCTCCAAGCTAAAGAGCCCTAAGCGCTTTAACCTTTCCTCATAGGGAAAGCGTTCCAACCCTTTTATCATTCGAGTTGCCCTTTTCTGCACTTTTTCCAAAGCTATAATATCCTTTTTAAGGTGTGGTGACCAGAACATGATTCCTGAGTACTGCATCCTCTTTTAAATAGTGTTAGAATGCCCTTAAATGCTTCCTCAATGTATTGTGTTCCAGTAGGTGATGCCATGATCTCAGGGATAGAGCTTAAATGTCTAGGTGAAAGCCACTGAGATTAAAAAGCCTAGAATTCAATATGATGATAGATTTGAATTTTTACTCTCCTGTACTCCAGGACAGCACCTGGAGATAGAAAACAGTGTCTCTCTTAACTAAAATGGATTTTCCTGTTACGCTTTTGGAAATTTAAACTTTCAGATTTTCTTAAAAAAAGCTCAAGCTAGGCTTGAGATATTTACCATTCTATAATACCCTCTTAGAAATAAGGGTAAGGCTTGGAGAGATTTGGGGAAATATCACTTCAATTCTAGACTTGTACATAGACGTATTTTCTAAAAATCAAAATCAGTTTTCCCTATATTTCTCTCTGAGCAGAAGGTGTTGGGGAAAATCTGTATTTCAAAGGTTTTATTTTAGTTCATGTTTCATTAGGATACCCACAGAAATGAAAATACTGTAGTTAAAGAAAATACAAAATATGTATTAGTAACATACAAATACAAAATATGTATTAGTAACAGAAATATAATGAGATGCTGTTATTTTATATCACAATAAGCTTCTTGTGGTTTCTGGTGAGCCATATGGGCAGGATTATGTTGCAAAAATGGTACAGATTAATAAAATTACATTGTTTCTGATTTGTATGAACTCTGGTTGTAATTATTTTTAGGGTAATGGTCATGAACGAGACTTCATGGAGGATAGCAGAGTATACATCATGGATGTTTACAACAGGTACATTTATCCTGGAGATGGATTTGCTAAACGTAAGTGGTTGATAATTTCCATGCTGATATGATCTCAAAGCAATTTAAATATTTTTAAAACATTCTTAATAAAGAAATTACCACCTTCATTACTGAAATATTCTGTTTTAAGAAATGGAATGCAAAACTTTTTTCAGTCATACATAGAGATGTAAAATTTCTGGAAATTTTGAAGCTTGGGAAAAAAACCATTTTTTTTTCGGGGGGGAATGGAAATTTTTGGAAAAATTGAAAAAAATGCTACATTAAGCACTTCTTTTTTCTTTTTGAGACTGAAAGTCATTCTGTTAGTTTAGGAACATAAAATATGACTATGGACATTTTTACTTGGCATGAAATTATCACAACTAGCATATTAAAACTATAGTGTATCCAAACAATTATTACAGATACCCACCCACATGAAAAAACAAAACTGGAACCTTTTTCTTTTCTTGTGACAATAGCACATCCTAAAGGAAGAAATGCATCTTGTTCTTGCATTGGAGAGTTCAGTTTGTAACCTAGGACTTGCTTGTCCTCAGTGCACAGAAATTAGATCAATCTGATATCATACATATTTTTTAGAAATGATTTTGAAAATATTTGAACACCTTGTCTTAAAATATTTTATTCATCATGTTAAAATAAAACATTCCATAATCATTTTTTTTCTTTTCTTTTCTTTTTTCAGTTTTTTCAATTTTTTGGAAAAAAACAAAAAAGGCTTCAGGAAAAAAAAAAACGAGGGGGAACGGTTTCCCCAAAAAATTTTCCGTTTTTTTTTCTGGGCGTTCACATCTCTAGTCATACAGGACACATATTTGAAATTCTTTCTCTGGAAGGTACCCCCTGTATGGGGCCTAACTGTGTGGATGGCCTTGATCAGGGTGATCTGGCAACAGGGCCTATGAAACATACACCTGTTTCACCAGGGCAGCTTGCAAGTAGTGAGAGTTGTTGGCCTGATTGCTTCTGGACCCACTTTGCAGATGGCCTGCCAGGTATATGGCAGCTTTTTACCCTCAAGTCACCTGAAGAGCCAGTAAAGTTCCAGTATAACTTTTCGACACCTTAATCCAAGCAACTCATGGTTCAGTGCAGGTTGAACTTGCACAGGCTGCTTAGAATTGTTGTCTGAGCCTTCTGAGTCCCCCATCCTTGGCAAAAGTAACACTTGAACCAGCACATCATTTGTTGAAGTTAGCATTTCTCTCCAGTGTTTGTGTTGGTGGAACAGCTAAAAGTGTGCTTTTTTAATTATTATTTATTTGAAGAACTATATTACTTACAACCAAAAAATTGTACATAGAATCCAAAAAAGGTACATAAATGGTATATATCATCATCTAATATTTAAACTAAATTATATCAATTCAGCTGATATATTCCTACATTATATTTGTATCTCTTTACATAAAAAGTGTTCTTTTTTCATTCTTTCAGAATGATCATTAATTATGCATTGAAACATAATAGTTATTAGCTTCCTAAGTTCCAGCATCTTCTATCTTCTTGTTGATCTGATAATACAGTTGATTAACTGATAAAGTATACGTTGGAGCCCAGAAAACCATTGGGTCTATGCAAGCTTACAGTGTAAGCTAGGGGAGAATTCCTCCCCTACCCCATGACCTGCCATATGAGAGCACATACCTGACTGCTCCTCAGGCCTCCCAGCCTCCCAAACGTTATATATATCGAGCTAATAAATATGTAGCTTGCTACTATAATACAACATTACAAGATTACATTATATCAAGCTCTGTTTCACCGTCCTCTGTTTCTTCAGAGACATGAAACTTGCAACTTTTAACTGGAGTCAATGGCAAATGAGTCTTCCTTTTTGCAGCTTGAATTTTAGCTTGCTCTAATTGAGGCAAACCTAATGCAGATAACAAAGCTGATCCAGAAACAGAGTCATATGCAATATATTGAGTTTGCTGATATTCCACAAACATTTTGCCTGACCGCAACCAACGATATTTTATACCTGCTGCCTGGAGTTTAGAAATAATAGGTTTAAGTCTCTTCGAATCTTAAGCATTTCTGGGGGAAATACAAGTATTTTGCTACCTTGAAAATCCAAGACGCTCTGCTGACGTGCTTCCAGCAAGATTTTCCTCTTAGTCCAATAGTCTGCCAGCCTGACCACAATATCTCTGCCTAAAAGGGCAGCCTGGGAAGATTCTGTCGTTTTACCTACTCTGTACGCTCGTAGTATCAGTGGTGTCACTCCCTCTACTTTTAAAGAGGCTGCCAGCCAGGACGCCATGAAAATAGAAAGGTCAGTTGTTTCTTCAGCATTTAATGAGAAACCACAAAATTTCAAATGTTTGTCTCTTATGCGAGACTCCAGCATCATGGTTTTTTCTCTAGACCAACTGTCTTGAGAGGTGGTTCCAAGCTTTTTTTCCAGGGAGGCAAGTTTCTTTAATGCTGCTTCTGCTTTCTGAGCTGTTTGCTTATATTGAGACTCCAATTCCTCCATGCATTGGGCTAGAGGTGATATCATATCCATCATATCTTGCATTAGCTCTTGATGTTGTCTCCCCAATGCTTCTAATAAGAAGTTTGGTGTGAGGAGAGAGTCAGCAGTATTTGTATTGCCATTGCTTGAAGACGCTGAAGAAGTGCTGGCAAGTTCAGCCGATACAAAAAATTCCTTTAGTAAAGGAGCTCCCCCGGCATTCTTTTGCTTCTTTTTGTCCTTAGAAGCTTTAGGCGGCATACTTTCAGTCAGGTTTGTTTGAAAATAGTCAATTAGAGTTGATTTAAGAGCAAGAGGTTTGGGAGCAGCCGGTAATGGCTTCTGGTCAGCATGTGATCGAAGCCATGCCCCACAGAAGGACAACTTGATGTTTGAAATTGGGAAGTAAAGAAGAACAAGCAAGATCCAATTATGTGCAGTGTCTATGGCAAGGCCCTGTGGAAAACATCTGAAATATGAAGTCTGGGATATCACAAATGCCACACACCCCATGTCAAAGTGCTGCCATTTCTTTAATGTTCAGCCCCGATGTCCAGCTGAGTATAGTGGTAGCTATGTGCACAGCTCTTTTGCCATAGAGGGAGAGTATAAGCATTACTTGGTATTTTAGGAGAAATAGTATCTGTTTTTACCCATTTTAGCCTTAGGCCTAGTCTCAATAGCATTCTAGGTAAGTAATCAGCAATTAATTATACTACTGGAGTTGTTCTATGGCTCTTGTTTAAGCCATCTTACAATACCTTAGATCATCATTGGTTTAGATGTTTCAAAAGTTGCTTTGGTAGTTTAAGAAACCCAAAGGGAACATGAGTAGATCTATAGTGCCAGGCCAAGCACTATACCCTTCCAAGCCAGTGGACTAAGCAAGGTATAACTTTGCTTAGGATGGCATGCTTTCATGTGATGGATATTGCATATTGTACTATTTTAGTAAAATGTTGCCTGGGCTGTTACTATTGGACTTCTGATTTTTATTAAGCAAATCATACTTCGGAATACTACCTGTCTGACTCCATTGGATAATTCACTTTCTTTAATTTTGTTTCAATCTTTTATGTAATATATTTATTTATTTATAATCTAAATTTATAGACCACCCTTCTCTGCATACACAGGGCTCAGGGCGGTGAACAACAGTAAAAACATTCATAAACTAATGAAACAACCCCAACAGTTTAAATAAAATATGACTAAAACATTCTCTGGTGGTGCTAAAACATCAGAGTTTCAAATTGTATCACTGTCTCATGGGGAGGTAGAGAGGAAACGGGGGAAAGGGGGTGCCAGATAGGATAGCACCTGTCGCTGTCCTCAACGAGAATCTTGGCAGAACATCTCTACCTGGCAGGCCCTGCGGAACTGCATTAGGTCCCGCATGGCGCGGATGTTATTCAGTAGAGAGTTCCACCAGGTAGGAGCCAAGGCTGAGAAAGCCCGGGCTCTGGTTGAGGACAGCCAGACGTCTTTTGGGCTGGGGATCACCAGTAGGTTGTTCTCTGCAGAGCGTAATGAGCTTTGGAGGACATACTAGAAGAGGCGGTTCTGAAGATATATGGGCCCAAGACTGCTTAGGGCCTTAATGGTCAATACCAGAACCTTGAACCTGACTCGATAATTCACCGGGAACCAGTGCAGCTGACAGAACACTGGTTTATTATGTGCCGTCCATCATGTTCCAGTGAGGACCCATGCCGCTGCATTCTCGACCAACTGGAGCTTCCAGATCAGTCTCAAGGGTAGCCCAACGTAGAATGAGTTACAGTAATCCAGCCTGGAGGTGGATTACTGTGGCTAGGTTGGGGTATGAAAAGGAAGGGGGCCAGTTGCCTCACCTGGTGTAGCTGGAAAAACACCAGCTTGACACCATTTGTGATCTGGGCCTCCAGTGTTTGTATTAGGGGTGTGTTGTCAGTGTTGGTATTAGGGGCACACCATCAAGAGCAGGGACTTGGCACCTCAACCCTGAGTGTCCCCCCCTGGCCACAGAACCTCCGTCTTAGTTGGGTTCAGTCTCAGCTGGCACTTTTTCATCCATCCCACCACAGCCTTCAGTCCCTCAGCCAGATTTTGTGGGGTGGTGTCCGGGCAGCTGTGCATCAGCAGATACAGCTGGGTGTCATCAGCATACTGGTGACACCCCAGCCCCAAACTCTACACCAGTTGTGTAGAGGGCACATATAGATGTTGAACAACATTGTAGAGAGGACTGCATGTTAGGGGGTATCTAGTTGACACCCTCTCCCCTAGCGCCCCCCTTTGTCCCCGACCTTGGAGAAGTGAAGTAAGCCACTTCAAGACCACCCCACAAATTCCTGGGTTGGTGAGGTGGTGGATCAAGAGATCATGATCGACTGTGTTGAATGCTGCTGTAAGATCAAGCAGTAACAGCAGTCAGTAGAGATCATTGATGACGGCAACCAGCTCTGTCTCTGTCCCATGGCCAGGGTGGAAACCAGACTGGAATGGGTCCAGCACTGATGTGTCATCCAGGAAACTCTGCTCAGCTACTGCTCTCTCAGTTACCTTACCC